ATCTCTAGAATATGCAGAATTCTTGATACGATTCTCCAAAATCGAGCAAGGGTGTTTTCTACTAAAAGTAATGTTTGACTTCCAGTTGTTAATGACCTGACCGGACATAGCACAGAAGTTGTCCAAGATTTACTTCACCTTTGGACTGTTGGCTAAGTCAGCTTTGCAAAAAATCAATATATCATCAGCAAAAAATAGGTGTGTGACCATAGGAGCCGTTCTTTGAATTTTAATTCCTTGGATTTCCCCAACCTCACAGCTTTAGTTATTTCAGATGATAGGAATTTCATAGTCAGAATAAAAAGGTAGGGAGATAAAGGATCTCTCTGTCTAAGATCCCTCTCCCGAATGATTCTGCCCTTCTTACCACCATTTGTTAAAACAAAATACTATACTGAAGAAATACAATTGTAAAAGAGATCAAGGAGTTGTTTGGGAAGGCCAAGAATCTCCAAAATTGTTATAAAAAAATCTCATTCTAATCTATCATAGGCCTTGTTCATGTCAATCTTAATGGCTATATAACAATGGGAAGGTTTTCTCTTAGTCTTCAAAAAATGAAAAACCTCATGATAAATCATAACACTATCAGAAATAGATCAATCATGGATAAATGCATTTTGATAATTATCAACAAGTAAATGCATGCAAGGTTTTAGTTGATTCACTATTTAGCCAAGGCCTTATAGAGAGTGTTAGTTAAACTAATAGATCTGAAGTCATTTATAGAAGATGGAGAACTACTTTTAGGGATCAAAATGATGTGAGTAAAATTAAAAGAACCAGGTACCTAAGAGGATTCAAAGCAATGATGCACTGCTCAAGTAACCTCTAACCCTAAGACATCCCAGAATTTTTGAAAGAAAATGATTGGGCCATTCATGGGATCAGGAGAGTTGTGAGGGCCGATTTGAAAGAAAGCAGTTGTTACTTCTTCAACTGAAAGTGGTTGGGTCAGGTTCTTCTTTAGCTCAACAAGGACTTTCTCTTGAATGTTCGGAAACAGAGTGTCATCAGAGCTGGGTTTGAAGATTTATATAACTGATGGAAGTATTGAATGATTTTTCTTTGAATGTCAGACTCCTTCATTAACCAAACACCATCACTACTCTTTAATCTCAGAATTATGCTCCTTTGTCTCCTAATGATTTTGGTTTGATGAAAAAAAAAAAAAAACTGGCATTATGGTCTCCCTTTTAAAGCCAATCCACCCTTGATTTCTAGCTCCAGAATTCCTTCTCTCTTTTCAACTCCAATTCCAACTGCTTCTTAAGCTCAATTTCTTCTCCTAGATTACCGCAATTAGTGATACGGTCAAGTAGTTGTCTTCTTGCTGTTTCTACTCTATCATGAATTAATCCAAAGGTATTCCATTTCCTCAGAGCTCCAGTACATCTTTTTAATTTTTGATTTATTTGTTCCATTGCCTACATCATAATGGAAACATTAGTGGTCCATCTATCTGTAACCACCTCTTTGCACTGAGTGTGTGAAAGCCACATTGATTAAAATCTTAAAGACCACTTCCCCTTTCCATGATGTGGTTTATAGTTTACAATATGAATTACCACAGCTTGACTGTATCTAGAGCGCCACTCAATCGATGCTAAACCCCTATGTAGCCTTTCTTTGTTCTCTCCCCCTATCAATTGTTGGACCATGTGAACTTTGGCCCCTACCAACCGAGATCTACTAAACAATAGTCTCTAATTACTTCATTGAACTCCTTCATTTGCCTCTCAAGCCTTAGCTAACCACCCACTTTCTCCCCAAGTTACCGACTTCATTAAAATCACCTAACAGAAGCCACAGATTTGTCATCATGTTTGCTATGAATCTCGAAGTGTCCCACACCTCATAGCGTCTCTCCATTATCGGGTCACCACAAACAGCAATGAAATTTCAGTTGCTATCCTTTCCTTCCCATTTCATCAGAGTGTGTATAAGCCTCTCTGACTTCTGAATTAAAAGCACTTCAACTCCAGTTTCCATGTCAGAATCAATCCTTCTTTCAAGCCGTCAGGGTCAACTGCTACAAAATGCGAGAAACATTTCTTCTCCAAAAATCAGGTTACCCTTTTGGTCTGTATTGTTGTTTCCATCAAGAAAACTACCGTGGGTTGATAAATTCTGAGGACACGAATTGTTCGAGGATGCCCTATCCCCTAACAGTTCCAACTCATTAACCTCATTTGAGTTGGCAACCCGAGACACCAACCTAGGTTGCCTTACCCATTGTGTTTTGAGGGTCATTATTGTTGCTTTCTTCCTGAAGCTCCTTATTGCTCTCACCGATAGCCTGCTCTCCACTGCTAGTGATTCTTGCCTTTTGTCACTGCCCTATACAATGAAACTTTCTAATTACCCTATTACTAGGGCCAGCTCCATATTTTAAGATATGCACCTTCCTCTATTTTTGATTTGGTTGCCCATGGTCCTCCTCTGCCCAAGTCCTTTTCTTGGGATTCTTGATTTGTGTAAATTTCTGACCCTCTAAGTTCATTCCTGTTCTAGCCCCAGAAAACTGATTTATTATGGGTGAGTAAATATGTATCATGGGTCCCCCACCTTCTTTATTAGCCAATAGGTTAGGGAATTAGGATGACAATTCATCCACCTTGCCGTTAACCACGATCTTAACAGAATTTGATTCTCTTTAGCCCTCATCCATTATTGGGATCGTATCAGTCGTACTTCGGTGAAATTCCTTGCCTTTTGTAACTGACTCCTACACTCAGCCCTTCATGGCAGGAACCGTTACCTTGAAACCGTCACTAGGCCCCACCTCCTTCCACCATTCTCCTTCTTCCTTAACTGCCTATTTTCTACCTCCGGTTGTCTATTGAACCCTATTTTTCCATAATTGTTGTTTTACTATCATGACTGCACGCCTGGTTTCCTCGACTCACCAGGGTCCCCACTTACCTTGTATATACACCTTCCACATCTCTGCCTCACCATCTATTTCCTCAGCCTGACTTCCTTCTCCTTGATTCTCATTTATGCTACAACTCTTCAGATCATGTCCGAGTAGCCCACAAGTATAACAAAACTTTGGGAGTCTTTCAAATCTAAAATCAATCCACAGAGCTTCTTTTCCTTGCCTTATCAATTTATAACCACACTTTAAAGGCCTATGTATATGCATTTTAACTCTCACCCACATGAAGTTTTTCCACCTTCCATTCTTACCTGGTTTATGGACTGTAACCACTTCTCTTATCACCCCTCCAAATTCCCGGCCATACTTTCTATCATCTGTCGTAAGGGCAACCTATGGATTTGAACCCAGATGTAGTAGTAAGACATGTCCACTTTGTCAATGCTCACACTATGGTCATACTACTCCTTGAGTATAAGGTTATTCATGAATAACTAGGGTTGTCCATCCAATGCCCTCTGTCGATCTGTTGAACTTCCAAAACTAACAAGAAATTTATTCCCTGATAAACTACTCACCTTAATCGGTGCTACAGAACTCTAAGCCTGAGTTAGCATTGCCTCCAAGCCCTTCCCGTTAATAGTCTTCCTCACGAGCAGTAGCACCACAAACCCACATCCTTCCTTCTGCAATATCTGGGACAACAATATCATAACTAATTTCCTCATGAATGCTACCTCCTTCATCCGGTATCTCGAGGAGAGAGGGTTCACCTCCCACCCGCGGCTGCTCCATCATCACGTACAGGCCAGTTGAAAACTAAACCAGCTCCAAAGAAAACTGGGAAAAAACTTGTACCAAAACACCTTGTGTTTCAAACAAGAGAGAACTCCTGAGGAACCTCAGGAGAGCCTGTTTAGTAGAAACGGGTTTTCATTCGTATTCCTTTATACTTGTGTTTCATTCGTACTCTTTTATATGCCTCTGGTTCTATCAAATGTTAGCTACGTTTCATTTACTGTGGTATGACATCATGATTCTACTGGCTTCACAAAGAAATATTAACGAATGGGATTGCAAAAGATATGGGGTGGGTGTTGCCCCTAGCTATTAGCTTTTTCCACTAGTGTTTTCTATCATGAATCCCACCATGTATATGGTGAGTTGAAATCCACTACTACACACCCTACTACAAATCCTAGTGAAATTCAACATAAGGTAAAAGTATTTATCAATTTGGAGTGTGCCCACTTGAGAAGGAAATCATCACATTTAAACCTTTTTTCTTTCCCTCTCTCTACAACTACTTATACTCCCTCACTGGTTCACCCTCTTTTATCTTTCACTTTGAGAAAGGAAGAGGATGGTGATGCTATAGAAGAAGAAATGAGATGTGATACATTTTGGTGATCATCATTTTTGTAGTACATGGTGATGGGGTGGAAAGTGATGTAGATTTGGAGTGGTAGTTGGATTTGCAACTTGACCAAATGATTTATTGCTAGAACGTGTTTTTCAAGTTTTGCCTCCCACATTGATCTATTGAACTAGGGATGACCATTTTCCCCATCCTCGAGGGGATCCGACTTTCCCAATTCCATCGGAATTATTTTGGTGAGACGGGGATGGGGGCAGGGATTAATAGGAATTCTTGATTGGAATTGGATCAGGGATAGGGATTGATGTCCCTACCCCACCCTAACCCCGATTATATATATATATATTAAATGTTATTTATTTTAAATATATATTATTATATTACTTCTATACATCAAGATATATTCAAAACATTATTTATAATTTAAATTTTTTATTTATTTAAAAAATATTATTATCTAAAAAATTTTGAAATTTCAAATTCACGCCAAAAACCTATCACGTAAAATATCAAGGGATGGAGGAGAAATTTTATCCCAACAGATTTGGGGACGAGAATGGGATTAATTTGAAAATCGGGTCGGGGACGGGGAATATGATCCCCGCCACGAACCCGCCCCCGTTGGGACGGAGATAAATTGATCCCTTGTGGCCCAAGGTCCGGCCCTGTCCAATCAAAGTTAAACTTCTTGACGATTTTATCCTTGCAGTTTGCAAAAACGTTCCCAGGCTCGTTAGCTGTCAATTGGCATCTGGCAAGGCAGGAAAAGTACATTTGGGTTGCTTAGAAAGTTAGAAGTGTCAGGAATTTGGAGATTTTGATTCTGTTGGGTTGATGCAAGTTCGTTCATTTTCATTTCCCCTTCTGTCGGTTTTATCAGAGTAGAGAGATTCGTGGTCGTTGGTTGGGAAAATGAAGAAGGAAGAAACAGTGAAATTGATCAGCGCCGAGGGTTTCGAGTTCGTCATCGATAAGAAAGCCGCCATGGTTTCGCAGACTATTCGGAACATGCTTACTTCTCCAGGTCTCTCTTTTTCTCTCCCTCCTCCTCCTCCTCTCTCTCTCTCCCTCTCCCTCTCATGTATAATTGATGGCGTTTATGATCATATGGGAAGCGTTGTGGGTTCCGAGTAGGGCTTGTTTTTGTAACAAGGGTTTTCGGTTGGGCAGGTAGTTTCGCTGAAACCCAGCATGGAGAAGTTACCTTCCCGGAGATAAGTACTATTATATTGGAGAAGATCTGCCAGTATTTCTACTGGTCTTTGCAATTTGCCAGGTATCGATCTCTCTCTGTATTATTTATTTTATATATTTAGTTTATTTTTTCGTTTTTCTCATTGGGAAGATGATATATTCGTTTCTTGCTCCCGTTTCTTTTTGACGCGATGAGGAAATGATATCTGATTTGGGTAATTTGGCTCCTCGCCCTCTTTTTTTCTGGTCTTTCTTTTTTGTGATTTTCGTTTTGTATTTCCGTTTTGTGGTTTGCAAATTGCAAGAAAGAACACAAGTATTGATTTCGCCGCGATGGTATTCATTAAAACTGAGGACATCCAAATCCATGACTTGCTCATTGGAGAAAAGCAATTTGAGAAATGATATCTGATTTTTATAATATGACTCTTCGCCCTCCTTTTTTTTTTTAATTTTTACTTTTAATGGTTTGCAAAGAGTATTGATTTCACGTCGTCGTTAGTATTAAGATTTGTTAAATCCTCTTTAATTCAGTTGGGGAAAGTAATTTTGCCAAACAGTATATAGGTGAAACTATAACTAGAGTACTGGAAATCAGATTCCAATATATGGTAAGTTGAAATTTTGTGCTGGAAGGGGAAATGGGTGAATGTGATAGATTTGGGATACTTGTGTTAAGATAATAAAGTCGGGTTGTGTGGGTAGTTTCTATCAATCAGCTGGCCATTTTGGTTTACCACTGCTATGGAAGATCAAAGGAGCATAGAACAAACATAAAAGCACTCTCTCTCTCTCTCTCTCTCTCTGTATATATATATATATATATATATATATATATATATATATATTATTGATAAGAGTTACATAAAAGCACTCTATATGTGTCTTGAGCACCTCAGAACTCGAACTCACCCCTAAATGAAAGCTCAAACCCAAGAGGACCAAAGGATCATTTAGACCTACACTGAGGATGGTAGATATCAATTTTGCTTGAGATGTATTAGTAGTTTGGGGGGATCACTACCATTTTTCTAAAGGTGAAAAGAGTTGAAGTGGTATAAGGTGTGAGGTCTTGAGAGACCTACACTGAGAATGGAAAAGCATTAGTATTACTTAATATCTAATAATACTTTGGGGATTACTATCATTCCCTAAAGGTGAAAAGACACCAAGGATGTATAAGGTTTCAGGTCCTAAAAGGGTGATAGACACCTGCTTATTGTGATCTCTGGGATGCAGAGAAGGCTAACAAACTCCTTCATGATGATAGAATGCAAAGGTGTGAAGATCCTAGGAACCCATTTCTAAGTTTGACATATTGGGAAGTGTTATTTATCTGTTGGTCTATACGAAGATAATATTCCTGCAAGAAGGCTATTGAAGTATCATGAGCCAGCTATGAAGATTAGTTGATGGTTTCATGAAGTTGAGGGGAGCTCTATAGAAATATTGCATTATGTTACAGAAGCTGGTGCCTCAGCATCTATGCTTTATTGTCTTATTGCAAGTAATTTCTAGAAAGACTAATGCCATAGCAAATGATTTAATGGAGAGTAGGCACTTAGAAACTATGCTATTTTGTGGAATGACATTGCCTATTAGTTCTTTTTTTTTTTACTTTAGTTTTGAATTTGATTTATTTTTCTTCTTTTTTTCATTTTCAATAAATTTATCATAGATTGTTACCCCCCCCCCGAAGAGAAAAAAAGAAAAAGAAAAAGAGGAAGGTAGTAATAATAGAAAAATGAACACAAAAGGAAGAAAAGAAACCCTGTCTGCTGTCTCAATTCCAATGCCAAATGTGAGAAAGCCAAGGAATGTGAAAACATGAAGGACACCAGGCCACCAGGGATGTTACCAGTTGGCACTGATGCTCATTATATGATTTATTGTTAGAATCAATGTTGCTTTGAAGAAACTTTGTTCCAAATGAGCACAATTAGCAATTTTGGGAGAGTAGCTACTTGGATGTAGAGAGGGTAAGCTTCTTTATTTTCCTTTTTTGAAAGGTAAAGTATGGAACTAAGAATAAGCTTCTTTATAACGAGGGTTTTTGGCTCCAGAGGTAGTTTTGCTGAAACCCAGCATGGAGAGGGTCATCTTCCCATAGATAAGTACTACTATATTGGATAAGATCTGTCAGTATTTCTTTGCAATTATGCATCAGATACACTGACTCTGAAGCATACAAACAACCTTTTTTCTTTTGAAGGTAAAGTAAAACATGAAATCATGTGAGTTGCTCAAGTCATTTGATGTGTATGTTTGATGGGTCAAAGGGTAGTGTACACATCAGTATGCTTCAACCCTGCAGCATGTACACTGGCTATCTAACCTCCATTTATATATAAAAAAGGGAAAAGCACCAATCCAGAAAACCCGGTAGGGAGGGGGAGAGAGAGAGAGAGCAAAAGAATTCTTGTTGATTAAGCTTGTGTAATATATGATATATATTGGTGAAGCTTAGATTCACAGTGGAACTTACACAGACCAATAAATATTATGTTTTTTTCTGTATAAATATCTTAAAGCCCTAATATAGAAGCATCACTATCATACCTAATGTAAGTTTCTAACCATTTAACTGAACTATTGGCATTTTCATTTGTCAAGTTGAAAATGTTAATTTTGGAAAGAAACATTGCTTAATTGTGGTGGCAATTCTATGATGAGTATGAGAAGTATCATTATTTTCTTTTATCTCCCCCCCCCCGGCTATCTTTATGAACTTGGAATTTTCTTCTCATACTGTCATGTTACTTTGTTGGCAGTGGAAAGGAGACTGAGTTCCACATTGAGCCTGAATTGTCGTTAGAGTTGATGATGGCCGCCAACTATCTTCACACTTGACTGTCTTGATTCTACTTTCACTTCTAGGGCATCAAGCATTGTAATTTGTAAGTCTTACCTCATGATCCGTTTAAAACCCCCTCCCCCTCTAAATTTGTTGCTCCTGTAACCCTGAGGTTTATCGTGGTTGCACGTTGGACCATATGCAACATTATAGAATCAAACCCTGCTTCTCTAGTCAGGGTTAGGCTCAAAGGTAAGGCTCATTCTATGGGGTGCACATGCGTCTTGTCTGAATCCAGGCGCAATTGTACACACCCAGGTGCAATTAATCTTGAATTTGATGCTAATAGGTAATTTACTATATTTTGCATGTTAAAACTTATGTTAAATTACCCCTCTCTGTATGTGCAGGGGTAAGTCTGCGTACATCTATCCCTCCCCAGACCCCACATTGGCGGGATTCTCATTCACTGTGGCTGCTCTTATGCTTAAAACTTAAACTGTTTAGCCTACATAGGACTTCAACTAAGGCTACAAATTTGTCTTAGTAAACACCTTTCTGTACCCAACTAATACGTTTGTTGTAATTGTTTTCTAAAAGAATTTAGATTTGCATATGTTAGAGAGCATTGGTTGCTGATGTCCTTAAGGCTGCGTTTGGAATCGGTGTAAAATGTCATCAGTGTAAACACTGAACCAGAAAGTGATTGTTACTTTTTTGAAAATAGTGATGGGTGAAAGAGTGTAAAGTTTTACATCGATAGAATTGATGTAGTTTTTATATCGATGATTGATGTAAAACTTCAGAGTTGATGAGGTTTTACATCGATTATCAACGTAAAACTACACTATTCAAACACACAAAATTGAACCAAAGTGTAGTTTTATGTTGATAATAATTACATTCTCATTTCAAACACATACAAAACCGATGTAAAATTTATATTGGTTCTTGATTTGCATCGCATTCAAATGCAACTTTGTTCCATATCGTATGCTTTGTCTGTTCAAGAGGAATGAAGGCATAGATAGTATACTGCAACTGGAGGCGCATGGAGGGTGGTTTTCATGCTCTCTGGTTGTGGTCAATACATGCTTATGGGTTTTGAGACGCGTGGATCAAAGGTTGGGTTTAACGCGTTGGTACCACCTGTTTGTTTCTCTCCGTATATGCTTTGTAACTGTGGAGTTAGGCAGTTACATTCTTTTGGGTGCAAGAACGTGATTTTTTGCTCACGCAGAAATATCGATCAATACTTTGAGGAGCATTCTAGGCTCTAGGGAATCTGAAGAGATGCTTACCAAGTTTAATACTTTCGGTACTTTATTCTTGCAAGGTGCAATCAATCAGTACTTATCTTGTTTGATAGTCCAATAAACAACCAATGTGGTATTCGACAACCTGTTTTGGTTTTTGAAAATAAAAAATAATTGTTTTTGCTAACCTGAAACCAACCATGTTGTTGGTGTTGTTGAACACCCCCTATATTAACTATAAATTCATATATATTGTTCCAGGCTTCCAGCCAAGTGGGCGGAGGGGCATACTGCTCTACCGACCACCAAATCTCTTGGGCCTCTTGGGAAGCAACAGAGTATTAGAGGATCTAGGAAATTAGGAACATATACAAACGTTATATACTCAAACAACAACGACAAAACTTAAACCTAGCTCTAATATCATAAAAAGTGTCCAAACGAAAACACGGAATAGTTTGATCTTTAGCAAAGCATAAGACCTGCAAAATAGCTCTAAATTCCAATTCAACACTGTCCTTCACCAGTCCTAAAAGCCCACTTACAGCTAAGGGTGCCAATGGACCGGTTTTGGATTGGATTCCGCCCAGTCCAAAATGAATTTGGATGGACCAATAAGACATATTGGATTAGACCTGGTCTGTCCGTAATAAATTTTTATTGGATTGGATTAAGCCAATATCTAGTCTATTGATATAAGATAAGAAACATGGGTGTTAATGGACCAGATTTGGGTTGAAATCAATCTAAATCAAAACGAATTTGAACAGATTGGATGGTCCAGACATTGAATTGGACCAGTCCAAAATATTCATTGGATTGGATTGGACCTGGGCCATTTATAATTGATTCACATTGGACTGGACCGGATTGGACCAAATCCAGTCCAATTGACATCCCTACTTACAGCTATTAAAAAAAGACTCCGGATCTCCTGCCCACGTCTACCCACAACACACTACCCTCTTGAATTGGGAACATCTCCCCCTGCATAATACTATGTAGGAGGATGAGATGTTCTCCATGTGTGACTGCAATGTTATGTGGGTAGACGTAGGCAGAGTTTGTGTGGACAAGAGATCTGGACTCTTAAAAAAAAAATCCTGTTGCTAAACACACAAAATCCATAACAACCTACGTTATCATCTCTCATTCTTCTGTGAGGCATACCCTTCAAATAAACATAGTGGACTCCTGAGACTAAAATATGTTCCAACAAAATATGCCCTTCAAATAAATCCCTACGTTATCATCTCCTGCTAACAAAATATGTTCCAATACCTTATCAACATGATCTGACTCCATACATTTCACATATGGTGGTACCACTTTATGGTGGGTCCCAGCCTCATGGTGATATGTGTGGTATCAGATATAATGGTCCCACTGTTCAACAAGCTGTGGAACCAATAGTAACATTCTACATCAGTAAAATATATGGGGCCCATAACCATTCAACCACTCACTGTGGTCTGCATGTATTTTGTCATTGATGTAAGGCATTATCATTGGTTCCACGGTCTTCTGCACAGACCTAGGGGTGCCAATTGGACCGGATTTGGTCCAATCTGATCCGGTCCAATGTGTGTCCATTATAAATGGACCAGGTCCAATCCAATCCAATGAATGTTTTGGACCATTGGACCGGTTCAATTCAATGTCTGGACCGTCCAATCTGTTCAAATTCATTTTGATTTAGATTGGTTTCAACCCAAACCTGGTCCATTGACACATATATTCTTATCTTATATTAATGGACCAAATATTGGCTTAATCTAATATAAATTTGTTACAGACAAGCCAGGCCCAGTCCAATCTAATAAATATTTTGGACTGGATTGGTCCAATCTAATGTCTTATTTGTCCATCCAATCCGTCCAAATTAATTTTGGACTGGACGGGGTTCAATCCAAAACCGGTCCATTGACACCCTTACCCACAGCCAAAGCATTGAGCTTATCCAAATTCCAGATTTTGGTAGGGTATTTAAATGTGTTTTGTTGGCATGAGATCCCAACTCAAAACTTTAGGCCCAAGACAAAGTTGAGATATGTTAGACTCAATACCTGACCTCTAATGACTGGATATAATCTGAGAGACCTGAGTAAGAACCAACTCACAATATCAACTAGAAGAATTAAAAAGAAGCTCATTTCTGTATCAGATACAATAAAAAGCCACAAATATCCAACTTAAAAAGAATTCACAATCAAACTTACCATTGAACAAGCTGATAGCAAACCAAACAAACTCGAGCAAAGTTTGAAATTGACCTCTGCCACAATGGAAAAGCTCAGAGAACTAAGCAAACAAATTAGCCCTTGCAAAAGGAGAGTAAAATAAAAAGATAAATGGGTCATTCATCTCTAGCTTTACACATTGGGTACAATTGGTCAGAAATAATACCCGTATTAAACAACTCTTATGCTACAAAGCCTTTGTGAAGTCCCCATGCCACAAGAAAAACCTAAAATGAAGAGGTATACATATAAGGGTACCGAGAAAACCATAGAAATTCAGCCGTTCTCTAAAACAAAACATGCCACACCCCTAAAACATCGCCTAATGCGTGTGGTGCCCAGGTCAATGTCCCCATCTGATTCTAAAACATTAATGGTGTTCTGCCATTTTTCCACTGCTCTTAATTTTCCCTCATTCTGCATGAACAATAAGGCCCAGTTTGGAAGGAGTATAAATACAAATATCTATAGTACAAAATCTTGTATTTTATATTATTTTCTATCTATTTGTATTTGTACTCCTTCCAAATGGAGCCTAAGTTATTTAAGTTGTAGAAAAATTGTTAAGGCTCAATTTGGAAAAAGTGCAAATGTAAATATGTACAGTATAAATACATACACAATAATACAAAATGTAAGGTTTTGCACTCCTTCCAAATTGAGCCTAAGGAATTTCTTCATAAAATGCATTCAAGACTTCTACACTTCCCCTTTTCACTGATTTTCTGGAAAAAAAAAAAGTACAGCCCTAGTGAATTAATGGATTTTGTTTCCCCTTAAATGCTAGCTAATTAATGTTAGAAGGTAAGAAGGCGTCTATGGAACAAGTTCCATGGATGAGGTAGTGGAGTAGTAGAACTGTAGAAGTCCAAAGTCCAAAACTAGAAAGCAACCTGGATCAGCTTTTTGACCTAGCACCGATCAACAGACAACAACACAAGCTTCATGCTTGTTCTGATTCCTGAAAATTCAGCTAGTGGCCTCGAGCGCCACAAGTGTTTTATCTGGATATCTATATTAAACAAATTGAATTATATAATTGTTATTCAGAAAATATTGGTTCTTGGATCCAACCTGGCCCTAACCAGAATATACAACCCGTTCTCCATCCTTTGAGGATGACCATGGGCCCATGGCCATGTTTAGACCTGTCTATGGGTCAGGTATGGGCTTGACCAAGGTAGATGTGGTTCCAACCTGATAAGAAAATAGCTAGACCTGGTTAGGGTCTGTAACAGATCTAGAACCCACCCTTTCATTAGTTGGGGGTTATTGGGTCCGACCCAATAAGACCTGATTATTAGTTGGGGTTATTGGGGCTGTAATAGGTTTAACCAAACTCGGAATTCTGAACAAACATACCCAGTGAAACTGGATACGATGGTATGCGGTGAAGTACCGAGTTCTTTCTCTGGTTTATAAATGATTTTGTAATTGATAAGTTGTATGTTCATAAATGTGATTCTATTTTTAGTTAGTAGTCCTAACTGTGCTTAAGAGTAAAGATAGAAAGCTAATAAATATTTTAAACTAATTTCTAGAATTGATTTCTCTGCAGAGATATAAAATTATGTCTTACCCGTCGTTGAATATACAGAGTCCAAGAATCAAGAATGGCCATCTTGAGGTCTCTTTCCTTTTCTCATATTTCAGTAATCTTCCTTGCCATCATTAGCATCCAATGTGGAGCCATTGACGAAGAGAGGAAGGTAAGTCGTTAGATGTTCTTCTGTTACAGTCATCTTCTATATAGTCCATAAGAAAATATGATCTTAGATAAACCACTTCTTGATCTCGCCACGGCTGATATGAGATTATCCAGAAATGGGTCATATCGTGGTTTTTTCATGGTGATGATGTTAATGATGCAGGTTCACATCGTGTACATGGGGGCCCTTCCTGAGAGTCAATACTCACTTACATCTCACCACATTAACATTCTAGAGGAAGTTGTTGAAGAAAGGTATGCCATGCATATACATGAAAATAACCAAAGCTGTTCTAATTTATAGCTCTTATTCTTCTTGTCTTGTGGTTTTATTTGTGTTGCTTCTGATTAGCGGAGTGTTAATTTGTTCCTTGAAGCAACGCGACTGAGTCCCTTGTCCACAGCTATAAAAGAAGTTTTAATGGATTTGCAGCCAAGCTAAATGATCGAGAGAGACAGAAACTTGCTAGTTAGTAACCCGAGATATATACGCCAAAGATAAAATTTGATTCCATCTATCATGGTTATGTGATTAAAGCATGTCTTTGGTGTCATATATATGCAGGGAAGGAAGGCGTAGTATCTGTGTTTCCAAGTAGAAGCCTCCAACTTCAGACCACGAGATCTTGGGATTTCATGGGTTTAACTGAAACTGTGAAAAGAGTGCCAGAGGTTGAGGGTGATGTGATAATTGGTGTCATTGACAGTGGAATCTGGCCCGAGTCTGAGAGCTTTAGTGATGAAGGATTCGGTCCTCCTCCTAAGAAATGGAAGGGCGCTTGTAATGGTGGCAAAAACTTCACGTGCAACAAGTAATATATAATTCTCTTGCATCTTTTACTCTTTTGGCTGTGTGTCCATACGAATGAAGTCTGTTTTAATAAGTTCCCTGATTTTATTTTTGCCATCTTAATTAAGAGGATGAGATTTTTAATTATAATGTAGCTAGGTTGGGTTCTACTTCAATTAATATTGTATATATCTTCCCATCACTCAAAACTCAGGTTTTTGATCTCCCTGCTATTGCTATTAGTACTAGTGCTGCAAGTAGGGTTGTCAATGGATGGGTTTTGGGTTGGACCCGTCCAGTCTATGCATTGACATTACATGAAAATATTAAAATATTCTGATTGGTTTAAATAATTTTATGGGGGGGGGGCATTAAAGATTTGTTGTATTAGTAATTCTTTGCCAATTGTGCTATTTAGCTGCATTTGGCATTCCTTAACTTGTTTTTAAGGACTTATCTCCTTTTTGCATGCAGTTAAAAACTGAATGTTCTAAGTCCTTAAAATAAGGAATGCCAAATGCAACCTTAGCTAAATATGATTAATCTGAAACTGTAATGGTTGCATGTGCAGCAAGCTCATTGGTGCACGAACTTACACAGATCTAGGGCCAGATAATACAGCAAGGGACACGGTAGGACATGGGTCACACACCGCATCGACAGCAGCAGGGAACAAAGTGAAGGATGCAGGTTTTTACGGATTGGCTCAAGGAAATGCAAGGGGAGGAGTGCCATCAGCTAGGATTGCTGCTTACAAGGTCTGCGCCGAAGGTGGGTGTTCTGATGCCGATATCCTGGCTGCTTTCGACGACGCCATTGCTGATGGTGTAGACATAATCTCCATTTCACTTGGATCGAGTCTTGCTATTGATATGGTCCAGGATTCCATTGCCATCGGTTCATTTCATGCCATGCAGAATGGCATCCTTACCTCACATTCTGCTGGGAATAGTGGTCCTGGTTTAGGGACAACCGCAAGTGTTGCACCATGGCTTCTTAGTGTAGCAGCAAGTAGTACAGATCGTCGGATTATTGACAAGGTTGTTTTAGGGGATGGTACAACGACGACGCTTGTGGTAAGCGTCATGATCTAGCTACTTTCTCAAATTTAAAAATTTAATGACGCTTGAGCTTGACCCAATTAATAATTAATATATACAAATATGCATGCATATGATCTGATCATGTATGCATGTTTGTCTTGTGTTCAACTCTCTGCGCATGCAGGGCACTTCTGTTAATTCATTTGATTTGAAAGGAGAAAAGTTCGATCTGATATATGGGAAAAATGCTTCACTCCGATGTTCTGATGATGATGTTCGGTATATATGCTAATTAATTAATTTGTTTTCTGGCCTGTCTGCCCTGCTAACTGAATTAATTAATTTCTTCAATGAAAGAAGAACAAGTACGTACTACGTAGTAGTAATAATTAAAAATCTTAATTAATTTGCTGTGTGCATTTCAGGCTTTGCAAAAATGGTTGCTTAGATGCTAATTTAGTGAAGGGGAAGGTTGTGGTTTGCGATGAGGTTTCCAAAGGAGAGGAGCCTGTGCATGCTCGTGCTCTTGGGACAATAATGATAGATAATAGATTCAATGATTTTGGTCGTATTTATCCTCTTCCTGCAACATTGTTAATCCCTGAAAATGGGGAAAAGGTTAAGTCTTACATGAACTCCACAAGGTAAGTGTAGAAACTTCCCCTCTAGCTATTTGTGTTCGGCTCTTACAGCAGGTTTGATTAATATATAGTTACCTGCAAATTGGAATGAAATTTGGTTTAGTTCGAGTTTTCCGTATCTGCTGTGATCACTGCATTCTTGTGGTCACTGACATGTCTGTGATCCAACCTAAAAGATAATCACCTGATATGTTTGTTCTATTGGACGGTCAGAAGAATGTGCTGTAATTAACCATATATGGTAGGAGAGGAGTAGATGCGACCTTGCTGCTTAATTCCAAACTATTACTTCATCAAGTTTAGGTTACTGCTTAATGTTGATGAACATAGTTTTTGGTTGTCTATGAGATTTCAACACAACACTTGTTTGGTTTTTGGGCCTCTAAAAACAAAATTTAATACAAAAAAAAAAAAAAGTTTTATGTTTATCCTTTGGTGGTTTAATATGCTCTATATTATTTATCCTCAGAAATCCTCAAGCAAACATCTTAAAAAGTGAAGCTATACACGATTCAATTGCTCCAGTTGTTGCTTCATTCTCCTCTCGTGGTCCAAATGTCATTATTGCAGAGATTATCAAGGTTTGGTCATTCTTTAATATCACAAATGCCATTTATTTCATTATAGTGCTTCTCCTGAAAGGTGATTTTTGAAAATTATATTGCATGCAGCCAGATATAAGTGCTCCAGGAGTAGATATTTTGGCTGCATTTTCACCTCTTGCTTCACCATCAGGCATCAAATCAGATAAAAGGTCAGTGAAGTACAGCATAATGTCTGGGACCTCCATGGCTTGCCCTCATGTCACAGGTGCAGCTGCTTATGTTAAAAGTTTCCATCCTGAGTGGTCGCCTTCTGCCATAAAATCTGCTCTTATGACTACAGGTTTTAATTTATGGTTTTCTGGATTTCAACATCTTCTTAGCCAAATCGATTTGTTATGTATTGTAACACACTATTTTCCTCTTTCTTTCTTTCTTTCTTTCTTTTTTTTTTAGCTTGGCCCATGAATGCTACTAAAAATGAACTGGAATTTGCTTATGGTGCTGGCCACATTGATCCAGTGAAAGCTGTGAACCCTGGTTTAGTTTATGAAACTCTTAAAAGCGATTACATACAAATGCTTTGCAATATTAATTATGATTCTTGGAGGATTAGAGAAATAACAGGAGAGAGAATCAGTTGCCCGGAAGCAAGTCAAGGCTCAGCTAAGGACCTGAATTACCCTTCAATGGGAGTGATGGTTACAGGAGAAAAGGCTTTCAAAAGTAATTGGACGAGGACAGTTACCAATGTTGGCTCGGCTAATTCCATATACAAGGCAACAGTGACTTCAGATCCTAAGCTTCAAATCACGGTTAACCCTGATGTTCTTTCCTTCCAGGCGTTGAATGAAAATAAGACTTTTGTTGTGACTGTTGCAGGCGGAGAGTTGCCGGATAATACTGTTTATTCTGCATCATTGGTGTGGTCTGACGGCACTCATAGTGTTAGAAGTCCTATTGTTGTATACACAAATTAATTATGTTGTTTAAACAGATCGACGACCATGTTATCTCTTGAATCATGTTAGAATCAAGTATTGTCAAATTCATTTTGGTCCAGAAAATGATATACCATTGATATAGTAAGAGCTTTTTGCTAATGGTGTTTGTTTCCTTCTAAGTATGATTTTGGGTAAATTGCTGAAACCTCCCCTTAACTTTGATAAAATTGCAATCACCTTCTATAATTTTTTTGACACAGTTGCAAATAGACCCCCCTTGTTAGAATCCTATAAATTTCATGGCTGCATATCCATGAAATTACTATTGAGGTTGGTTTCTACAGAAGAAAAAACAATATAAACTTTATAAGCAACAACAAAAAAAAAAATAGAATTTATTACAGCTTTACCTTTGAGTGATTGATATGAAGGGCAAACTTGAAAAATAAATCTATTTCAGAAAAGATATTGGAAGGGTTTATTTTAGAAAATAAACATTTTGGTAAAAAGTAACTGCATGGATATTTTAGACATTTTAATGCCTCTTATTTTAGTAGATTCTAACAAAGGGGATCTACTTACAACTATGTCCAAAGTCTAGAAGAGGTGAATGCAATTACTAAACTTTAGGGAAGGTTTCAGCAATTTACCTTATGATTTATTGCAAGTATCATATAACTATGTTAATGTCTCTCTTCTTGTATTGTTTTGATGAATTTTCATTAATTGGCTAGTGTATTTAAGTCTAAAGAGATACAGACTGATCTTTTGAGGGTCTGATCTAAAACCAATTACTTTTAGTCTCTCACATGTATGTGCATTTACACGTCTAATAGAAAATGCTCAAAAATCTGTTACCAACAAAAAAAGAAAATAGAAAATGCTGAAAAATCAGCTACTCCCGTTGGAGTAGCCTTGGGTTAGAACGGTGAAACCATGTCATGTCACATGTGCCAGCCCTTTGAAATCTTGAGCAATATGCCATGTATTGCTCATATCGTGTTGATATGTTAAACCTTGGTTTGGCGAGTATTACCCCTTGTTCAACACTCCCTGCAATCCAATATGAATATATCACCTATGCAAATAATTAAATACAAAACATCCCGTGAACTACTTTTTAATGTTTCTTAAGTATATCCATGGCCACAGTAGATGTGCTTTCTCATTGTAACTCATTTGTGTAGACTTATTTCTTATTCACCGTAAAGTTTCCATCTTGATCTGATGTGGGTTGCCCTTATTAGAGAATAACAACGTATTCAGGGACCTCGCATAACAACTTAAGCATTTAAGTTGAACAGCCCTTTACTATATAGTATAAGTACCGTAGGAGCCAAAGAAATTAACTGAGGGGGGATATCTTTTGCACAAAAGTAGCTATAAAATATAAAAAGCCTTTCCAAAATGGCAAAATATTAGTTTATGTTTGGGTATACTTCTACTTTTGTACTATTGATAGTATGATAGTACAAAGTACAAATACAACTTTTACTTGGTATTTTTGCTTTGAAAATTATTTGGGTAAAAAATTTTGAAAAGCATACTTTAAAAAACAGAAGTACCATTTCTGTTTGGCAAAAGCACCCTATCATTCATGTGATTCATCAGATCTTATACATGACAAAGGCCACATTACCCATGATTAGCCACCTGTATACTCTAAAGATACATACACATGTCACATGCACACATCATGTACACGTGTCAACCACTTGAATTGGCACTTGGTTTAGGAAACAAAGTGGTTTTGCACAAGTATAATGCTATATATAACATTACGATAAACAAGCTATAAAAACATTCCATTAAGCTTCAAGAATAGTTTAGAAAATTAAGAAGTCGACAACAGTGATTCTAGTGGCAGTAAACATGCAATAAACATACCATCCATTAAGCTTGAAGATATTGCACGAAATGGAGAAAAACATTAAAAGAAAAAGGGAAAATATGAAACTGGGATCCATACCTGCGATTTCAGTGAGGATTGTGCTTCCGGTGGCAATGATGGTTGGAGATGGGCGATGGCAGAACGAGAACCCGTGGTGGCAAAGAGGTTAGGGCTTGAAGACAACAAGCGAATGGGAGAGTCTTGATCGAGGGGTTTTACCTAAAGGATGGTCACCCTTCACAAGAAATGGAAGCAAAACTTCCCCAAAATAACAAAGTAATAAAAGTTGACTTCGTGCTTTTGGGGAGTTTCGTGCTTTTAAAAAGTATGAAAGTCAAAGTAGGAAATACGTCATCCAAACACGATGTGGTGTTTTTCGTACTTTCATAAAAGTACTTTTGAAAAGTCTATATATCCAAACAGGGCCTCAATCTTTATGCTTTTGTGCACCCTAAGATTTTGTTTACTTTGAAGGAAAAAAGCTGAGAAACCTTTGCAAATCTTGTATAAACCAAACAGAACATAAGATTTTTTACTTTTGGTTGACAAAACTTCACTTAGAAACATCAACAACATGAACTATACAAGCAGGAGGGAAGGCTATACTAGTTCTTAGATGCTAGAGCAATAAAGGACTGACTGAATTTGATAGCTTTTTTACAGGGTGTGGCATCAATGATAAAGCAAGCTACAGCCCGTAAAACAGCCATCAAATTCAGTTTAATCCGTTCTCTTACAGATCATGCGCAACTAAGATTTTAATTTGTAACTAACACAACATCCTTATTCCTACCCACAATAATGTTTTTAGCCTCTTGAGATCGTTTTTATGGGATTGCTGATCTGCAAGTTTGATTGATATCTAACTAAAATAAACAAGCCAAAAGTAAGTAGAAACGAAATCAGAATTTTATCAAAGCAGATTTTATGATTCAAATGATTCAAAGTAAATATTATTTTGGATAGGCTTGCACCAGATTCGGTTCTATATTCCTCAAATGATAGAATATCTCTACAATTTTTTTCCTCCTAATGCTGCATTTACTTATACTAGAAAGCGTGCAAGTACTTTGTACTAGATGATAATAATGATAGTAATAATGTATCCGAAAAAAAGTCTTTTACACACTGCATCCACACTTTCTAGTATATATATATATATATATATATATATATATATATATATATATATTTATTTATTTATTTATTTATTTCTGTGATTTTTTATACTTTTTGGTGTTTTCTACAATTTTTATTTTCTGATTTTGTTTTCCAATTTTTGTAGTTTTTATAATTTAAAAATATTTTTATTTTGTTTGCAATTTCTATAGTTTTCAATATTTTTTGCAATTTATGTGCTTTTATGTATTTTATATTTGAAAATATTTTTTGAACTTTTTCCTTTTTTCATGTCTTTTTAGTTAAAATATATATGTGTATATTTTACATTTTTGTATAACGGGTAAAATGGTAATCTAGTAACACTCGTTAGCCTATTTAAGGTCAAATTAATGACATGAGGTTCCCTGGACATTTTGAAAAGTTATGGCGAGTTAAAGAAAAATGTTGAAAAGTCATGTTGAATTTTAGACAATTTTCCTTTTTTTTTAATTTGATTAACAAAAGTATCATACATGTGTCTAACTTTTATACGCTTTTGTAATTTTTTATATCTATTTATATTTTGAAAATTTTATTACCAAACTATGACTTAATAGGTTTATCAATTTGATTTGAATTGTTGAATTGCTTAGTCATCACTTGGATAAATAATGTTTTTGTTTTTTAGCTAGTCTTAAAATATATGGGTTTATATTATTAAAAATATTGATATAGATCTAATCAATACCATTTATTGGTGAAAATAATTTAAATATAGGATTTAATAAGAGAAAATGGGAGTTAATACCTTTAAGTATAAAACTTAATGAAAGGGGATTAAATGAGGTGGAAATTAATAATTGAAGTTGCATTTTCAACCCTTACAATTAGAAATGTAATAAATAGACAAATATGGGCATTTTAGTAGCTATTAAAATTTGGCATTAAAGTTGTAATAAAATGACTTTTATACCCTTTATCAAACAAAGAAATAGAGGATAATTTTAGTAAAAAAAAAAACTTTTACTATGCATCTGCACTTTTATATATAGTATAGGTCTTTTATCTTTTATTCATTTATAAAAAATGTAAAATTTAAATAAAGGGAATTGAATGAAGTGAAAAGCAGTAGTTCAATTTACGATTTAAACCTTACAATTAAATATGAACTAAATTAAAAAATGAGTATTTTAGTCAATGTTTTAAAAATCAGACCAGACTAGATAGGTCATCGGTTTCGTTTTGGCCTTTAACCGCTATTTTACAAAAAAAAAAAGCATTAAAATGGTCAAATAACTGCTGATCCAGACAGTTTAACTATTAAAATGTTTGACCTGATCAATGGTTCTCGGATTTCTTTCAAACTAATTCAAAACTTGTTATTTATTTTAAAAATAGAAATTATAAAATAAAATAAAAAAAGATAAAAGAAATTTGTATATCTCAAAATCTTGTTCAATTATTCCTAATGGCCAAAATTAGTTAGGGTTTTTAGTTATTCTATTTTGATTTTAAGTTTTCTCATTTCTGTGATTCTTTTTAAGTTGTAACAACAACAAAAATGCAACTCCAATGAAGAAATTGAAAATTTTATACAAAAAGATGAGAGATCAACCACCGATCTTATATTAAAATCTGGCATACACCAATGAATCAAATGATCTAGGATTTGATAGAGATTTAGAGAGATGAAAAATATGTAAGAAGAAGGCAAGCGGTGTTATAGTGACGGTTGAACCATTGACTTAGATACCGGAAGACAAAGCGGTTCTATTTTTGGGTTGGTAATTTTCTATATTTATTTCTATTTTAAAAAATTTATTACCTAACTTTGACCTCATAGGTTTATCAATTTGATTTGAATGGTTGAATTGCTTAGCCATCACTTTAAAAAATAATGTTTTTTGTTTTTTAGACAATTTTAAAATATATAGTTTATATTGTTAAAAATATTAAGATATATCTAGTTAGTACCATTTATTGGTGAAAGTTAATTTAAATATAGGACTTAATAAGAGAAATAGGAGTTAATTAATACCTTTAA